AAATAATCGGAAAACTCAATTATCAAAAAAAAAAAAAAATCATAACATTTATATTCTCACACTTCAGAAGCCTCTTATTGATTTTTCACTCTATTTAGTTTTTATTATAGTGTGATTTTTCACTTTTATAAAATTAATTAAAAAATTGCAATAATTCATTAAAATGTTAAATCAATAAAGCCATTAAATAAATAGTGACACAAATAGCAACATAAATATTATTTCTTCAACCAGTCAAAAGTATATAATTTAAAAAAGCTTACTATATTTTCTTCTCAGTACATATAATTTAAGCTAAATATAATTAAATTCAATATTAAAATTAATTATGTTTGATTTTTCCAAAATGCAACCGAATTAATGAAACTAAAGCTCTAAGTAACTTAATTTGGTTTGACAAATATTTGTTTTGTTCAATTTATAATTTTTTTGTAACAGAAACTTATTGGCTTATAAACTATTTATGTAATATCAGATCTGCTCCAGGATCGTCCGGGCCGATCGTGGATCGTCCCGGGATGATCAGGGATCGTCCCAGGACGATCAAAGTATGGCACAAGTCAGAGAGCAAATCGTCCAGGAAATTAATTATCGTCATGAGAAATCGTCCCAGACCGATTGGATTTTGTTCAGATCGCCCAGGACGATCGTGCGATCGGCCGGGCCGATCAGAGTATTATTTAGCTGAAATTAGCTCATTTTGAAGAGAGAGAAAATCAAATTTTATAAAAATATATTTTGAGGAGAGAGAAGGTCGAGGGCTAAAGTGAAAAGTTGATTTTTGGACAACGCCATGCCGTTTTCGTCCAACGAGACAGTTTAAGAAAGTGGTGTACGCAAGGTAAGGCACATTCTGCCTTTCTCAATTTTCAGAACGGTGAAGTTTGAACGAATTTTCTCTCCGGATTTTTATTTTCGTTAGCGAATTTTGTCCGTATTTTTCGACTGGTTCAGTTTTTACCGCGTAACTTTTGGTATGTTATTGAAGTGCCGAGTGTGCACGTTTTGATTATTTTATGGAGATTTTTGACCGGATAGTTTTGATTTGGCGGTGTTTTTTGTTGACTGTAAATTTTCACGATTCTGAAAATGTTGTGGCAGTAGAATAAAAGTCTTACATTATTGTTGTGAATATTCTGTGGTAATTTGGTAAAATTCTGATTCTGTCAATTTTGTGTAAATTCCGTATATTGCCGTTATGCCGCTGGATTTTCGTACGATTTCTGAAATTGTCTGGATTTGTTCTGAAATGATATGATATGATTGTGTGCTATGAAAAGGGAGTTATAAGGGGTCGGGATCCCGTGAGATCCTGTCTGTTTCAGGGAAAATCTGAAATGAGCTCTGAAATATGTTTCTGAAAACAAGTTCCGGATCCGATGATAAGTTCTGTCCTGGTGCTATAAGCACATCTGTTCTTGTGCCATGAGCACAAAGGGAGGCATAAGGGGCCAGAATCCGAGAGATTCTGTCAGTGTCTGGGAAGGGAGGCATAATGGGCCAGAATCCGTTGAAATTCTGTCAGAGTCAAGGAATATGTTTTGACTTTTGATATGCTCTAAATCGATATGATTTCTGATTTCTATACGATATAATTTGATCTGATCTGTATGATTATGATTCTGATACGATTCTGACACGATTCTGTTCTGTTCTGATATGATCTGATTCTGATTTCCGTACGATTCTATCTGTTCTGATTTGATATATGATTCAGTTCTGTTTTGATATTTAATCTGTTCTGTTCTGTCTGTTCTGTTCTGATTTGATTCATTCCGTTCTGCTCTGTCAGTTCTGTATTCTGATTTTTGGTATGGATTTCTGTCTGATGTGTTGGATGTGGACTCTGAGGATTTTGATTGGTGGTTTGATGTCTTGCTGAGCTGTTGTAGCTTATCCTTATTTTCTGCGTGGTTTTCAGGTTCTGGGAAAGGGAATGAAGTCTTGGACTAGGAGTTCAGAGTCTGATCTGTTATAGGTATTTTGTACTTTTGATTTTTTTTATAGTCATGACTTTTCTGCTCTGTTTTTTTTTTCTGTCTAAAAGACATGAACTGTATTTGTATATAAACAAGATAGATGATTGGTTCCGCTGTATTTTGATGTTTAGTAGCTCTGTGTGTCTGTTTATTTGTGTAATGTTTGGATGAAAATTCTGAACCAAATTCCAAATCCAGATCCTGGAATCAGTTCAGTCAGTTTGAGTTTGGCCACGACCCGATGCGAGCGGGATCCGTCCCGATCAGGTTGGGTCGTGACAATTTAAGCCTTCAAATTGCACATCTCAATTATTAAATTAAATTATAAAAAAATATCAATTTGTCAAAATCAATAATATTAACTATTTTATTTGATTTTATTTTAATTAATATATTTATATATAATTTATTTGATTGTACATTTATAATATTATTTAATAAATCTTATCATTTATAATTAAATTAATTTAATCAAATTATCACAAAGTAAGATCCTAATTAATCATTAGACACAAGAACTTATATTATATCATATTAAATTATAAGTAATAACGATTTATTTAAATTATTATTTTTTAATTAATTTGTATTAATTAGTTGATGTAAATTAATATAGTCAATTTGAATAATTAATTAAATATGTACATTTTGTCCGCTGCGTCTCCAGGCCTTATTCCCGAAACCTTCCTTGGTAATCGGCCTGTAAGTGGAAAATTGTTATGTCCGGACTCGGTACCGAGCATACTGAGTGATACCGAGCGTGGTATCGAGCGTGATACCGAATGCTCAGTGACGTGGCGCATTTTTATTAGCCTCTGGATGCGTTCGGTATCCGGATACAATAATTACTCCTATAAGTGAAGGAGAAGCGCTGAAGCTTTAGTTTGTGACCGAAGCTCATTAAGAGCATGTGTTGCAGGACTTACGTCGAGCGAACGAAGAGTTCGTGAAGGGAGTTTGCAGGGGATAGGCATATAAATATAATATTGTTTTGAATGTAATATAAATGATTGTTTGATAATTAGATAATTATTAATATAATAAATAATTTGATAATTAACACCTAAATAATATAATAATTAATTTAATAATAATTATACAACTAATAACTAACTATTTAAATAATAGTTGGTTATTTTTAATTATAAACTATATTGTTAATATTAATATCTTATACCCTTAAAAATTTAACTACTCATTATTAATTTTATATTATTATGTATATTATGTTTTTAAATAATTCTATTTTAAATTATATTAATTAGCTAATTATATTATTTTACATTATTAAATATTTAATTAAAATAAAGAGATTATGTTAATTAAATGCATTAAAATCCTACTAATTTCTTAAATTATTAATATTTAAATATATATATTAAGTAAATTCAAAATCGCTTAGAGACGTCTAGGGTATGCATATTATCTTCTCTTATTTTAGATGGTATTGTTCGGATCTATCATCGTTCTCTTCATGCGTTGTAATGATTGCAGTCTTCTTGGCTCTTCAGTTAGACGATTGCGAACTTTTTTGCTCCTTCTGGTTCCTCATTGGGTCTAGCACACCATCCTTTGCCGTCCTCTTGATGGTTTGGGAAGTAAGCTAGACTAAGGGAGTTTGCTTCTTGCTCGTTGCCAAGAGCCACTTTCTTTCTTTACCGCGCTTTCTTCTTTTAGCCACAAACTAATCCGCTGACGATGGATTTGGATTTACGGCGGATCTTATCGTTACGAGGGCAGACATCCGGATTTAAGGGACCTTTCAATAAAACCGTTTGCTGGATTTAGGCGTAAATCCGACTTAAAATCCCGCTGTAATCCATACCTTTGGCAACAGTGGGATTTATTAATCCTGGAATCCATTTAGATAATCCGAATGTGTTAAATCATG